AATCTTCCCGGGGGAGCTTGCCCCCGGACCCCCCTATGTGAGGTCCACACACCACCTGTAGAAATAGCACTTTACCCCTGCTTACACCTACCTATATGCCGTGAGCTGATTATCGTGCCTTCATTGTAACAGTCGCGGGTACATTGTGTATTTGCGTGGGGAGTGTTGCAGTAGAAAATTCCACTGTAGCGACCGGTACATTAATGGGAAACCCTAAATGTTTAAGCACCCTCTATGAAACGTCAAGCTACCCCACAGCCTGACTATTTGTGTTGGGGGGGCCCGACTTTTTTTTTTTTTTTCAAAGGGGGGGCCTGACAGAAAAAGTTTGAGAACCACTGCTATACAGTCAGATCTCACAGTAAAGATGGCGGTGGAGCACGATGAAAGTGATGAAACCACTGCAAACTACTTCCTCCTCACACCGTCTATCAGAGCTCTGCAGCAACACGCAGCTGCACAACATGAAGATACACAACACAGGAACACACATGAAGAACACACACCAAGAAGTTCTTGGTGTGTGTTCTTGGCAAGAACACACATCAAGAACACACACCAGACAAGGAGGTCATCATGAGATACTGCAGGGTGGCATTGAAGCATGCATGTATAAAGTTTACTGTTGATTGATTGATTGATTGATTGATTGATTGATTGATTGATTGATTGATTGAAAAGTTTATTAACAGCTTGTATATTGGGTACAGTACAGTACAGCTCAAAACATACAATTGTTAAGGGGATGCAGACCAGAGAAAGACTTTCGTCTTGTTTACATCAGGGTCCCCCATTTCCAATTCATCATGTCATTTAAGACATATAAGACATATTTGACATACAGATGGCTTATTTACAATTTACATACAGGTGGTTTTTTACATACAGATTGCTTATTTACAATTTTCATTTTAGATTTCGTTCTAATACATCCTAACCGGACATTTAAGACCTGCCAAGTCTACAGATTTACAGTTAGTAACAGAGTCTAAAATGCGAGTATATACATAGATGGGGGGGGGGAAGCTGTCCATTGTACGCAGTGGCGTTTTTATATGTACAAAAGTGGTGGGGCACAAAAAACTCAGATGTCTATAAGCTTCTGCAGTGAGGTTCATGGCTGGTGAGGCACTGCCACTGACTCTTCAGGTTTACAAATATTATATTTTGACCTAAATCAAAATATAATATTATTTTCAAAAGCTTTTTTTGTCTGATGCTTCAATTCATTTTAAACAGACAGTTCAACAGATGGATACCCAAACAATTTAATTTAATTATTCAAATATTGAATTGTTCTCTCTTAGTAAGATCCCATTTTCAATAAAATTGCAGTCTTACCTTGACTTGAAGATTAAGTCCATTTGCCTATCCTTCTGGACAAAATCTCTATTACTTTTTTGTAAAAGTCCTCCTTATGTTCTTGTAGTTTCAAAAGTCTATCATAAATCTAATCTAATCAATAGATTTATGATTCGAAAATTATAAAAGTAGGGTAGATATGTGGATATTATCCGGCTGAACAAAACGTGCATTTATCTAACAGGTTTGTTTCCCACAGACCTTATTTGGAGCTATTTTCTAAAATCCTATGGAGAAATCTCATTGCTTTTTTGTCGAGGGAAGCCATGCGCAGCTTACTTCCGGGTTTTAGGACGCCTCACTGCAGCTCTCTCGTCACCTCTTCACACACCACACTTTTCGCGGCACACGTACTTACAGCCAATCAGCTCTGAATGATGTGAGATGACGTATGGTGGGGATGGCAGCTCAATGCCCCTATGGTCATTATTTTTTTGCCACACACATTAAATAGGAAAATATTCTGAGCATGCGCAGTGTAGTTTTTACAGTCACCGTTCACTTAGACATAGAGAGGGAGGGGCAGGATCGGGTTTTGTCCCACATGGCTCAAACAGCTCAATAGGCACACACTGTAGACACTAATTAGAAGAACACAGACTAAAACAGCAATGTACAGACGAATCAGATGATTAAACATGATCTTAAAATATATTTTATATATTTTTTCATTTATTTTTTTCATTTTGTTGTAATCATTATTTGTAATACTTTCTACTGACACGAGGTGGGGCTGTGCCCCACCTGCCCCTAATGACCAGTCGCCACTGACAATTTGTACGACAGGTTGAGATTTGTACCATTACCGGGGCCAGTTTTGCAATGCTCTCCCCCGAAGGTGCTCTTTAAGAGAGGTTTTGAAGGTAAGTATAGTTTTACTTTCCTTTACAGTTGTGGGAAGAGCGTTCCACCTTGATGTGGCATAATTGCGAAACGTGTATTCCCCCTTTTTTGTGCCAAATCTGGGTTTCACATGATTTGTGGAGCTCCCTCTGGTGTTATGATCATGGTATTCCTTGGCCTTTGGGAAGAATTTTGACATGTACATGGGTACCTGTTAAGTCTGTAAGGCAAATAAATATGGTTAATTTGGAACTGGTAACATTTGCAGAGGTGAAAGAATGGTTCATATCCTTTACTTAAAGGTAGGGTAGGTAAGAATGGAGAAACCAGCTCGAGTGCGCTAGAATTTGAAAGTACGCAGCCGAAAAAAATCTGCCCCTTTCTTCAGACTTCCTTCCAGAGCCCCTCCTCCAACACACACTAACGCGCACATGACCAATGAGGGCACGAGATGAGTTTGTGCACAGATGGAAGGCTGACAGGCAGGTAGGCCATCCAGTTACTTTAGCCGGGCCGGCTCAGATGATTGGTCGTGCTTTTTACAGCGCCACAGCTTCCACAGAGGACATTTTTTTAATGTATTTTTTGTCAAATCATTTAATTTATTCATTGCTATCGGGATGTTAAGAGCATTCCGTGGAATATAACAACAAGTGTTTCTGAAGTGAATTACCTACCCCACCTTTAAGTAAAAGAAGATGTATGCAGTTTTAAAATATTCCATTACAACTGAAAGTTCTGAATCTAAAATGTTACTTAAGCAGAAATACAGAAATATTCAGTCAAATCTACTTAAAGTCTAAAAGTGAAAGTACACATTATGCACAATGGCTATTTGTATCACAAAAAATACATGTAGGTTCACATTTAACTGGATCCTTAAATAAAGTAAATGCTTATTCTTGCACAAATACCCATTTGGAGATCCATTAACTATATCCAAATGTAATCAACTATTTTCAAATATAGTTTGGCAATGGGTTAGGATAACAGTACAAAGTATGTAAAAAGTAGCTAGTAACTATGAGTTTTAAATATATGTAGAGCAGTCAGAAACACAATATTTTCCTCCAAAATGTAGTGGATTTGAAGTTTATCTTAGCATAAAAAAGAAATACTCGAGTCAGTATGACACGATAATGCTTTGATGCAACTGTATGCCATACTACTATTGACACATTTGAAAGCAGCAGCAGCGGTGTGTGAAACTGCAGCGCGTCATTTGCAGAAAGAGGAAGCGAGGTTAACTCCTGCGGCTCTGCAGTCAGTGTGAGGCCGACGTTCACACACTCAGAGAGCTTTATACACTTTCAACCACCTTTCCTCCTCTCTGCACGTTTACAAGACTGCCACCTGCCACCATCAACACATGTAAGTAGAATTTAAGTAGCTTTTTTTGAGTTTTCTGCACTCAAAGGGCCGTTTCTGTCCTATTGTTTGAAATGTGAGGTGTTTCTGCAGCAGAGTTCTGTGTGAGAGCATTTCTGTGTGTAGCCTCCTCCTCTGTCTGTGGGAAAGTAAGAAGACTTTTCCTCTTGATGTGCAGTGAGCTGAGTTTGACAGTCATGCGTAGTTACACTTGCACACATTAAGAAGCACGATTGCAACAATTGTCAGGCTGTAGAAGCTGAGATACTCTCCTCTCTCTTCTGTATTATCCTCTATTGTTACATATATATTTGTAACCTCACTTGTTTTTCTTGTTCTCGTGGATGTGGTGCTGCTTGCCGCTATGACTCAGAATAAAAAATCAGCCTACATGTGTCATTGTTCTTTACTTTTATTGTGTATACTTCCTTCCTCTTTTTTATTTCGGCCCTATTTCCCTGAAACAATGAAGTCCTAAAGCTGGTGAAAAACAGTAAACATTAAGGCATTTAATTACAATTTAAATACACTTAACGACATCTCTACTCACACCGTAAACATTTCTCTCTGCTCTCCTCTTTGGTCTCTTGTCGTCCGATGTGTGGACTCAAGTGTCACATTCGATGAGTTGAGACTCTACTTGATACACAAGACTTGCAACTAGACTTGGACTTTAACACCAATGACTTGTGTCTTCACTTCAGCATTTTGACCTAAAATACTAGTTTATTTGATTTAAAAAGTATGGCATATAAATAATACAATTGCATCTACCATTAACGCTACTCACTTCCAGCATGTCACAACTTAATTCCCCACTTTGTTTGTGTGACTTAAATTACAGACAGATACACATTCTAAGAATGGGAAACGTACCATTTTCAGACTTTTGACTTGCCCTTGTGGATAATGGACTTGACTTGAGACTCGGGATTTAGGTTTTAGGACATTATTGACTTGGGAATTGCCTTGGAATTTGACCTGGGACTTGTCACTCTTGACTTTGGGACTTGACTTGGGACTGGCCAGTCTTGACTTGGAACGTATTAGGCTTGACTTGGAAATTGACTTTGGATTTGACTTTGAACTTGTCTTACTGTACTTTGGACTTGATTTGGAACTTGTCAGTCTTGACTTGGGGATTGAATTGGGGCTTGACTGAGGACTTGCCTGTCTTGACTCGGGAAACGAAACACCATCACTCCTCCTTTTCTCTTCCCTCTGTCACGTCTTTATTCATTTGCTGTGCTGCTCTTTGTTCTGTCTCTCGGGAGGTAATCCCCAACCAGACGCTCCTTACTGCTTCCCTTGGACTCTCCCTCTCTCCTCCTCCCTCCCTCCTCCTCCTCCCTCCCCTCCCCTCCTCTCGCTGGGTGCTCCATGTGAGGAGCTCCAGTTCCTGCTGGCCTCCCCACTGCGCTGCTCGTATGGCGGACTCTCCTCTCAACCACTCCTGGCCCTCCTTCTCCAAACTCTGGATGAAGAGATGGTCCTTCAAGAGAGGTAGTGCTTTATATTCAGATTACTCCTCGTGTTTTGGAGAGGAAATATTGAGTCGAAAAGACAGGTAGTGGAGGAAGTGGTCTGGATGCAATCTTTTTATCTGCTGTTGTCTAACAGTTTTTATCTGATTTGGGGCTTGTGGTAAACAATGGCTGCTGTGAAAGTATAGTTAGTCATTTCAAAGCCTGGTGCATTCTTTAAGCAGTGGCAGAAGAAGTTATCTTGCACTACTGAACTGTAAAAATACTCATCTAGTAAAAGTACGAATTTCAAAATCTTACCTAAGCAAAAGTACCAAAGTTTGGCATCAACTTATACACAAGTATCTTAAAGAAAATCAGAATCATATTTTTATAAATTACTAGGTTATTGATGCTTAAATGTGTCTATCACTGCTAGTAAAGGTGGTGATAATTGTAATTTCTTTGTACACTGCTGCTGGACATCTCAACCTTTTTTTAAATTTATTTATTTTATTTATTCTACTAAAATCATACAAAAACGTATAATTCACACAAATGAACAAAATTAGTAGAAGCGGGAGGGCTGAAGCATAGCTAACCTCAATTTGATGTCAATTTGTTCATTTATTAGTTCATTTATATTCTGTATAAGCAAGTTGTCTGAATCTATAAATAACTAAGCTGTCAGATAAATAGTATTAGCTTTCAAAATGCAATTATATTCCATTCCTGTGTAAAAGATGTGAAAATGCACAAATGTACTCATGTATCTCTAAAAAACATGTTTTATTGTGCATTGCAGAATGATCATTTTTGTACCACTGTAACATCTAAAGCTTAAATCCAGTGTTTTTTAAAGTACATCCATTAAGAAAGTCTGAAAAACAACTGGAAAATGTAGCTTTTTTGCAAACGAAACGTATATTGTTGTTCTTTCTCTATAATATGCAGAGCTTGAATTATGTCATGCTGTTAGTCGCCATGCTGTTATCTTCAGTGGATTATCATATTTCTTAGACGTGAAGGAGCAGTGTAGGATGTTTCCATTTTGCTTCAGCCAAGCTCGGTGCTTTGAAACTGTAGTCGGACGAATTTCTGATCAAAGACGATCTGTGAGATGACAGTTGTTTTGATGTGTTATACGACCTCAGATCTAACAGCCTCTGTGTTCTGTTTTCACCTGCTGTCACACACACACACACACACACGGAAGCACGCACGCACACACACACTTGCACCGTCACCGTGACCTTAATCCAAACACTTTTATTTGAACAATATATTTTTCTTACATGACTTACAAGTGTGATTTTTATCTTGTCATTTGCTTATTTTGTAGCTGAGAATATATGAGCTCAGTGTGTGTGTTTTATTTTATATTCGGAAAGACCTTAACACTACATAAAAAGGTGTTTATTGAACTTCTGTCTCTGTTGAAAACTTCATTAAATATGTGTAGGCCTACTTTGTCATGGGCCTGTCATTGTACTAATCAACTGACCTATCATATGATGCCCAGGTTCCTCTTGTAATTGTCATGTAGATGTGTGTGTGTATCATATGTACGCTTTGTGGTGAACATGTGCCCTCATTTCCTTCTTTTGACATTTGCTCAAAGGCCTTCCTATTTTTACACAGCTAACACAAACATACCGTGGCACACACATATGTCATTTTCTTTTATCATAGAGAATTGTGTGTAAACGTACTGACTATATAGATTAGAAGAAGCCTATGTATATAGATTTAAAAGTATAATATTTAACATTTCCACATTTAAACCATAAAGTCAGTAGACCTTTTGTTATGCTTTGTTCGTTATTCTCGCGTCCAGGAGATAAGCTTTAAAAAGGAGACTAATGGAGTCTCTTAGAAGGTTCAAATGGGTACTTTAATTTTAAAAAAGGCGCGGTAAATGTTACAAGCAGAATATTGTTCAGTCAGAAAAACAGCTGTGTTCTGGCTCTCGTGAGCAAAGGGAAGAGAGCGAGAACCACTTTTTCATCTGTTAAATATCCTCTGCTGGCTCCTCCCCGTGTGCCGGTTGGCGCTGCTGGGGGCCGGCCCTCCACGTCTCCAATGTTCGTTGTTGCGCATAACAGAGGATTCAGACATTGTACATTAAATATATAACTAAACACGCCTTTTCTCCTCCTTATCTCTTTCATGACTTTTCATTTAATACATTTTAAACGCTGTAATCAATACTCCAAAAATACAGGAAATACCTCACGGCTGGTATCATTTCCGGTCGTTCCGGATGTTGTCTCATGCTACCCACGTCTGTAAACAAACGTATTCAAATAAACTGTACCTTCATTTAATATCCAGCAATAATAATATCTCGACGTCTATAGTTGTAGTGTTGAAATCAGTAGGTTTCGGTGTGCAACACTCCGTGTCATATCGCTACTAAATTCACCTATATAGTAAATGGTATTTTAGCCACATGCTAAATGCTAACCGGAGATGAAGGATTTTCAGAATAAAAGCTTAACAACTGGTTGTGCACCATAGAGTCTATGGTTCCCAAACTTTTTGTGCCCAAGGCACACCAAAGGACAAGTACAAATCTCAAGGCACACCTATTGTGCAAAAATAGCCCTTATAACAGGTGTTATCAATCATATCATGTAAAATATCTGTAAATGTGCATAATTATTTACTAATGCCAAATAAAATGTGACAAAGACAACTATATTACTCATGAAATATTTATTAACGAAATATTTTAGAAATTAATTTGAAACTTTATCAAATTAGGCTTCATCAAAGCAGCAACACACTCATTTAAACCAGACAGGTCACAACATTAAAAATGAGGCAAAGCAAACTCAGCAGAAATTCAGCACAGAGAACTGTCAATGCAAGGAAGCTGCATTGTTCATGGTCCTGAACTACAAATGATAAATGTAACATTTCAGCAATCAGCATTGAAACATGTGCTATTGTAAATATTTTGCCGACTTACAAATTAGTGAGATACATGTGCCTGTCGGGGCGCGCAGCATTTTTTAATCCTTGGTGGCACTGAGGAGGGCCACTCGCAAGTCCTGTTCAACAGAGAGCCGTGACCTCCTGTTGTTCTTCATGTAAACCAGAGTAGAGAACGCCAACTCCAGAGATGGGGTCGTTACTAAAAAAAATGTAATATATTACATATTACTTTTTTTTTTAAAAGTAATATATTACACTACTTCGTTACTATCTACATAAAGTAACTCGTTACTTTACTCGCCGAGCACGTACGAACTGCGCATGCGTGAGTGGCAATAACTTTCCTTACCAGCAGGCGGCGGTAGTGTGTATTTGTCATTCAACAAAACAGGCAACAACCGGTGAAATGCTGTGGTGTTTTCTGAAATGCTGTAGCGTTTTGTGAAATGCTGTGGTGTTTTCTGAAATGCTGTAGCGTTTTGTGAAATGCTATAGTGTTTTCTGAAATGCTGTGGTGTCTTGCACTTCAGGGCCACCGTACATTCCTGTCTATTCTTCGGACGAACTCAAAATAATGGGCATACCTCCACCCCTCGAAAGTTATCGCTGACTCAGCCATGTTTATGCAGCACTGCACGTTGAGATGTGGACGCGCAAATCGCGCAGATTACGTACATATAAACCTACAAAGTACTGATATAGTAAATTAAAAAATAATTATTTTTGTGTAGTTGTATATTGCAATAATAACGTATGGTTGTCACAAAATCCCACGGCACACCCGGACTTGCCTCACGGCACACCGTTTGGGAACCACTGCCATAGACTGTATAAAGTTGTGCACGAGAACTTCTGGTTTTTCAGTATAAAACAGCATTTAAACTGACGGTATGTTTAAGGTACTTTATGCCATCAAAACATTGATTGTAATTTCTAACACTTTGTCATGTATGTTGTTGAATTGAGATAATTACATTATCTAAAATATGTACAACTATTTAAAAACAGGAGAAATGTGAAATTGTAATTGAGATAACGGTTTATTTGGTCTTGTCAGTCTTAACTTGGGACATTATTGACTTAAAGCCTATGCTTAAAACATGTCAGTCTATTTATATAGATTTAAAGGTATAATATGTTACATTTCCACATTAATCTAAAAAGGACTATGTGATATATTTTCTTGAGTTGTCTGGCCTACTGATATTATCCCAAAAATGTCCAGAAAAATGTGTAATTTCAATCAAGATACAGCAACTGTGCGTCTGTTGTCCTATAATGGCTTTTGATCCCTTTTTGACATTACATAAAGTGATTTAATGCATTTTAAATATTAATACGGGCATGTTAAAAAACTGAAAATATGATATAAAATCCACTTTACTATCTACATATTATTGGAATATGGCCATATGCTAATGCTGCTGCAGCTAGCTTTAGCTCCTTGCTACTAGAGAGACTTGGACCTTGGATAAAAGCGTCAGAGTTCGTCTTCCAGAAGCTGTCATACAATTACTTTTTATGAAGTTTTGAGCCACATGTTGTCTTTATTTTCTAATAACTTTTTATTTTAACTGGATAAAGAATTTAAGTCGTTATCTGGATCTTAAATGATCAGAGATAGCTACAAGCTAAGCTAATGTTAGTGGTTAGCTCGTAGCTACGCCCTCCAATGTTCACCTTTAAAACGAAGATTTGTAAGTATTTATCGCAGATATTGTTTGTTTTGGAGATTGAGTATCATAGTTATTTTGTTTTGGGGCATTTGTCCAGCAATGTCATGTCAATTATGAGTATAACACTAAATCAAAACTTTCTTTCAAAGATTTACAATTCTTGCAAAATATGACATCTTCTATAGATCTTTAATTTGAAGTAATGTGTAGAGAGAGGGTACAGTTGTGATATTAAAATGTGAAGAAAAGAGGAACAATATTAAATAGGGAAATAAAACATTATATAAAGTATATTAAGTCTAATATTGAGTACATTTTCAGTGTCAAATTATAATAAATGTAAGGCAAAGTGCTAATGTAATTTGGTGATTTATTAGTCGGTAGTTCAGACATTAATTTCCAGACCACCCCTTGTTATGTGGAGCCATTGTGGGGAAAACAGCTGACTATGACAGTGCCAAAACAATTATGGACACACACACTTACACACTTACACACTTACACACTTACACAACACACACACACACACACACACACACACACACACACCACACACACACACACACACACACACACACACACACACACACACACACACACACACACACACACACACACTGCTGTTGCATCCCTGTGTGATGTATTAGCAGATATATGAGGCCAACCATAAAAGGCTACAGCAGCAACACAGGACAGCATCAAGCAGAGTCCCAGTGTCTGAGTTTACACTTAAAAACGAGAGCGATTCAGACACGAACAAATACTCCCTGCTGCCCCGAGTGAGATATTATTAATACAATAGAAATATATCTTCACTGTGTCTGTCTGCAGAGGTGGAAGAAGCTATGATATTAAAGCAAAAGTAGAACTACGGTCTTTAGATACTTGTAATACTAGTAAAAAAGTTCATTATGAATAATGGCTTTTTTCAAAGTATTCAATCTTTTTGGCATATGCCTTTATTCTGTTTTTATTGCTTTTAAATACACCTCAGAGCCTTGTAAAGTTTAGCTTGTCAATATTATTGTGTCAATAATTGTGTACAATATCCCATTAATTTATGACACTGGTATTTTGCAGCTGAAATCAGAAACGTCTTCCTTTCATTGTGTGTTTTCTTTATGGTACTGTTGAAGTTCTTGAATTTGCGAGTGTGTATAACTCAATTATTGATTATCTTTCAGCGTCAGAGTGTAAACCATGCATTGCACCCTGTGGGTCTCCAAGTGCCTCTCTCAGTGTCCCGCCTCAGGCCCCCTTCGGGACGGGGTCCTCCTCCTCACTGTCCCCCCCCTCCATCGCTGAAGATGCCTTCTTTGGGAGCTCCAAAAAAGACAAGGTAAAGCTCATTATTTGTTTATATTCTTTGCGTTATGAGTCATGCTATCTTTCTGGCTGGAGATGAATAGATCTTCAGAACCAGGGCTCGAAAAAAAACACCACGTAGGAGCCAAATGTCGGTTAAAGATGCAACTGGGTAGTAGATATGCGGGCACATACCAGCCAAAAAAATCATTAATAAATGAAGTGTCTGCTAAAGTTTGATTTGAACTTTCATTAGTCATTTGTCTGGTTAACAAACAAAAAAAGGTACTTTTGCACCCTGTCCATAATCTACTGACTAACCAATTCCTTTTTTATTAAGACACATTGTTTGTTTTTTGTGAAAAATCTATTTGTGTAAACCTAAAGAAAACATTTTTATTTTCACCGTGAAGAAGCGACAAGGTGTTAGCACTATTTTGTTTATATGAGGAATATGTTAAATGTGTAATCTAGTCTTTGGACCATGCTTTTTAATATTGACGGACTGACTGACTAATCTGATGGCATTGAAGCACAAAGCGAATCAAAGGAAGCATGTGAAACGTGTAGTTTGCTGGAATTTTGATTAATTTTGGTTAACATTTGCGATGATATAAATGTCATTGTGAGCAACTTATTGTTGTTCTGATGAAAGTGCTTTTTCTAAGCACACCCTTAAGAAGCTGATAGCATTTCTAAAGACATACTTTTTAAAATGTTGCATTGATGTTTGGAATATATGTATCTCATCTACATGTCAATTATTTTTCTCCATGTCTCCACTGTTTTTAAATCTTTCCTGGCTCCGTCCTTTCTGCTTATACAGGATGCGTGTTCAGTAGTGAGCGACTACGACTGCCCCTGTGCTGAGTTGAGCAGCAGTGTGGAGGACCTGCTGGACCTCAGCTATTCTCTCAAAGATTCAGAGTACTTTAAAGACCTGGAGGGAGGGATACCGGCTTCTTTTACTGCACCCACAGAGAGAAACCCCCTACCTCTCAGCCTGCAGGTGTCTCTAAACACAGACACCAAACAGCCTACACACACTTCTCTGAGCACACATTCTCATCGAGTCAATGCACCATCTTCCCCCTTCTACATCCACCCTGCAGAGGAGCCACATCAGAACTTTGTGGTCACTCAGTTGAGGCCGAAGTTACACCCAGGCTGCATCATTGACAGCGATGAGTCCTCGGGTCCTGCAGTAGGACTGAGCCTGACCATTAATCTGAACAGACTGCCGGGGTCGATGGAGACGGCTAAAGGGATAACGGGATCGCAGGAAGAGAAGGAGCAGGGCGGTGTGGGTTTAGACGGAGAGCTGGACGAGGACAGCTTCCCTATTCTGGTCCGGTCCATGTCCACGTCTCGGAGGCACAGCTTGGGGGTCCCCATGTCCCCCATTACCTTGGGGAGGAGGTGAGGTGGATGTTTGGAAAGGATGGAAAGAATTAGAAGAACCAATCTCGTAAAAAATCTATATAATTGCACAAAAGCTGCACTTGATTTATGATCATTGTTGGGGAAGATGCGTAAAAAAGTCATGTTTTTTTTAAAAAAGAGAGAGATCTTGTTTGTTACACAAAGCTGCTTGGAAAAGGACTCAAAACTAGGTTGTAGACATTGAAAATGTGACAAAAACACCAACAAATAATAACAAAATCTAATAAAAAAAGTGACATCCTAGATAAAAAAGCACTTAATTGAGTTTAGCTCAATCACTACAGTGTTCACAGTTATACAAAACGTTTTTATATACCCACTAAAATAAATTATTCAGCTTAAATTGAAAGACACATGGGTCTGGGTTGCTCAAAGGGGGTTTTATTCACAATACAATAGCATTAGTAGTATAAAGATAATCAAAATAATGAGGTTCTTTTTAGGCCCGAAATTGTAGTTTGTAGTTTCAGTAGTTAACAAAAAAAGTGATTTAACTTCTTGAAGCGAACTGAAAATATGAATGTTGTTGCAGACTGCTGTAAAATATCACGTTATATGAAGTCTGACATAAGCTTTACCTGCAAAGTAAAAAAATTCACATAGATTATTGTAATAACCCTGTTGCTGTCATCTAGCTGAGCTCAGTGTGGCTCGTGGTGGAGATGGTGTCTTACCACAGCTTCTTCAAAAATGAAGTAGAGGCTATTTTGTCATGTGAATATATGGTGCACTAAAATACCACCGAAAAACAACACAAGAACAAGCTCAGGACACAGAGTCCTGCTCAAATGGTTGTTTTGTTTTTGAGATACTTGTACTTGACTTGAGTAATTTATTTTCATACACTAAATTTCAGTGGACTATATTCTGCCCTAATGTTACAGCTTTAGTTAGTTTAAGCTATTTTCATGCAACATTTTTTTTTAAAACTGCTTTTCCTTATGAAGTTGTCACCTTGAGCTCTAGGTAATTCCATTTTCATTTTATTTCTCACTATTTTAACTATATTTACGGGGAAACATTTGTATTAATTGAGAAATTAATAATCGAATAACACAATGTCTACTAGTACACTAACAAAGGTAATTTATGAAATAACTACTTTTACTTTGAATCATTTTAGTAAATGTTCCTGACGATACACACATATTTTAACAGGAATGCAGGACTTTTACTTGTTAAAGACTATTAGAGTGGTATAAGTGCTTTTACACGAGTAAAGGATCAGAATACTTGTTTGCTTATGTGTGTGTGTGTGTGTGTGTGTGTGTGTGTGTGTGTGTGTGTGTGTGTGTGTGTGTGTGTGTATGTCTGTGTGTGTGTGTGTGTGTGTGTGGTGTGTGTGTGTGTGTGTGTGTGTGTGTGTGTGTGTGTGTGTGTGTGTGTGTGTGTGTGTGTGTGTGTGCGCCAGGCTGAGTCTGGACACCATGGCCACGGACAGTGATGGAGAGAGAGAGGAAGATGAGGAAGAGGAGGAAGGACTGAAAGGTTTCATCCCGTCCCAACAGCAGCAAACATACGGCTCGGGTCCCGGAGAGGAGACTGACGACTGCAGTCTGAGTGCCCCCTGTCCCAGAGCCAGAGTCACCAGCATGGTAATCAAACAACGGTGACATATTATACAGATTACTGTCTAGAAAACACAACTCAAAACCAAAACTCAAGACCAAATCTCAAAACCAAAACACAAGACCAAAACTCAAGATCAAAACTCAAGACCAAATCTCAAGACCAAAACTCAAGACCAAATCTCAAGACCAAAACTCAAGACCAAAACTCAAGACCAAAACTCAAGACCAAATCTCAAGACCAAAACACAAGATCAAAACTCAAGACCAAAACTCAAGATCAAAACTCAAGACCAAATCTCAAGACCAAAACTCAAGACCAAATCTCAAGACCAAATCTCAAGACCAAAACTCAAGACCAAAACTCAAGACCAAAACTCAAGACCAAAACTCAAGACCAAAACTCAAGATCAAAACTCAAGACCAAATCTCAAAACCAAAACACAAGACCAAAACTCAAGATCAAAACTCAAGACCAAATCTCAAGACCAAAACTCAAGACCAAATCTCAAGACCAAATCTCAAGACCAAATCTCAAGACCAAAACTCAAGATCAAAACTCAAAACCAAAACACAAGACCAAAACTCAAGATCAAAACTCAAGACCAAAACTCAAGACCAAATCTCAAGACCAAATCTCAAGACCAAAACTCAAGACCAAAACTCAAGACCAAAACTCAAGACCAAAACTCAAGACCAAAACTCAAGACCAAAACTCAAAACCAAAACACAAGACCAAAACTCAAGATTAAAACTCAAGATCAAAACTCAAGATCAAAACTCAAGACCAAATCTCAAGACCAAAACTCAAGATCAAAACTCAAAACCAAAACACAAGACCAAAACTCAAGACCAAATCTCAAGACCAAAACTCAAGATCAAAACTCAAGACCAAATCTCAAGACCAAAACTCAAGATCAAAACTCAAAACCAAAACACAAGACCAAAACACAAGACCAAAACTCAAGATCAAAACTCAAGACCAAAACTCAAGATCAAAACTCAAGACCAAAACACAAGACCAAAACTCAAGATCAAAACTCAAGACCAAAACTCAAGACCAAATCTCAAGACCAAATCTCAAGACCAAAACTCAAGACCAAAACTCAAGACCAAAACTCAAGATCAAATCTCAAGACCAAAACTTAAGATCAAAACTCAAGACCAAAACACAAGACCAAAACTCAAGATCAAAACTCAAGACCAAAACTCAAGACCAAATCTCAAGACCAAATCTCAAGACCAAAACTCAAGACCAAAACTCAAGATCAAAACTCAAGACCAAATCTCAAGACCAAATCTCAAGACCAAAACTCAAGATCAAAACTCAAGACCAAATCTCAAGACCAAAACTCAAGACCAAATCTCAAGACCAAAACTCAAAACCAAATCTCAAGACCAAAACTCAAGATCAAAACTCAAGACCAAAACTCAAGACCAAAACTCAAGACCAAAACTCAAGACCAAAACTCCAGCTCCAGCTTCATACACGATGGTTTCCTCTGAAAGCATACATCCTAAAATCCTTTAAACTTGCCATACTTACTGAGATAGTTCAAAAATGTGTATTTTTGCAAACTTTGCAAGCTATTAATAACTTTACAATGCAGGATAAAACACAGCAAAGCTACCATTTAGTTAGTTAAACCTACTTAGAAAAGGTAGATCAAAAGCTACCATTTAGTTACATGCTTCTTGTCATGTTATATGAAATATAGCCAAAATATAGCCAATTGGAAATGGCTCTAATATCTAATATCTAATATCATGCAGGAATGATAGTGGACAATATTGTGCCTTATAGATTAGGTTTAGCTGAATTATGCCTCTTTTCCAATATTCTTACACTGAGTACACAAAGTTCAAACTTACATTAGAAACATCAGGAAGATTTTTGGTTAAATCCCTAATTGCAGTTGGTATTTTTAAATGGGATTTGTTGACGATAAGAACCAAAATAATTTTTTTAATAATAAATTCTTTTTAGATGTTTCCTTTATAGGAAAAGGCTGATAATTGACAACTTGGAAATTTGAAACTAAATAACGCTGAGCCTTTGTGGGATGTTAAATACAATTATAAATTATAAAAAAGTGCCTTAATATAAATTGCCAACTAATAAAGGCTTTAAAGTCTCTCAAACCTTCTAATAAGACGTTTTTGAGTGCGGTTCACAAGCTGCAAAACAATGAGCAACCTCAGATCTTAAATCAATAACGTTTTTAACAGAAGATTTCAACTTGAAAAAACTCTCAAAATGACTCAAAAATACAAAAACTTAATATATTGCTTAAAGGTGGGGGAGGTAATTTTGGAGAAACCAGCTCGAGTGCGCTAGAATTTGAAAATACACAACCGGAAGAAATCTGCCCCTTCCTCACAGAGCTCCTCCTCCAACACACATGACGCGCACATGACCAATGAGGGCACGAGATAAGTTTGTGCCCAGATGGAAGGCTGACAGGCAGGTAGGCCATCCAGTTACTTTAGCCGGGCCGGCTCAGATGATTGGTCGTGCTTTTTACAGCGCCACGGCTTCCACAGATGACTTTTTTTAATGTATTTATTGTCAAAGCATTTAAGATATTCATTGCTATCGGGATGTTAAGAGCATTCCATGGAATATAACAAAAAGTGTTTCTGAAGTGAATTACCTACCCCACCTTTAAGTAAAATACTTTCATAATGTGTGGTACCCCAGTGTCTGAGTTAATTCTGGCTCTAACCATGCCACTGTTAGTAAAAGTAATCATCATAAGTATCTGTGTGTTGGGGAGTGGAGGTAGAACAGATCTGTTGTGCACGTGATGCCGATGTGTGTTTATTCTCCGCGCCCTCAGGCCTGCGGAGTTCCCCGCAGACATCTGTACTCCCGCTCAGAGATCCTGGCCACGGACGAGTGTTCCCGCGCCGCTCACATCTCCCGTGTTGTGCAGACATCCAAACAGGCAGCCAGGGCGGCAGGAGGTGGGCGGGCAGAGTGTGTGTGTGTGTGTGTGTGTGTGTGTGTGTGTGTGTGTGTGAGTGTGTGTGTGTGTGTGTGTGTGTGTGTGTGTGTGTGTGTGTTAGGATACATGTTTTACACTCTGCAGGCAGCAGCTGTTTCATCATATCTGACCTTTTGTATCTCCTGCAGCAGAAGAGTTCGACCCTGAAGAAAACCTGCACTGGACTGACGGCCAGAGCCACATGTAAGTTTGCACGATATATGACTTGAGTTACACACACACCTTATACATTTTCTTTAACGTTCAATAATACTTTATTATCAGTTCAAGTCTGGAATCTTTCGCACATCAACAGGGACAAGTATTCACCAAAGACAATATGTTCAAAGACCCTTTAAAGGTCCCATGGCCATTTCTACTGATCATAATTCCATTGTTGAGGTCGACTAGAATAGATTTAAATTGTGCAATTTTCCAAACTCACATTGGTTTCTCATACAGCATCTCTGTATAGTATGTGTATTCACTCTCTGTCCTAAACGGCTTGTTGGAGCTCCTGCCCCCCCCCCCCCCTCTCTGTGAGCCCAGTGGCCGCCTGCGAGACAGCGAGACACAGCGAAACCCAGCCCAAAACCAGCCCGAACACACACACACACACCCGCAGCCTGGCTGGGAGTTTGTGTGCGTGCTCACACACCGACTCACAGCCTCGCCGCGTCCCGCCGTCTCAGGGAGAAGAAATCGGCGGAGCTGCAGCTGAGAAAAGATTGAGTGTGTGTGTGTGTGTGCGAGGAAGTCCGCGGATTGGTCAATTTGGACCAATCCACGGACTTAACGTAACGGCTCCGCGGACGTAACGGCTACGCGGACGTAACGGCTAAGCGGATGTAACGGCTACGCGGATGTAACGGCTACGCGGATGTAACGGCTACGCGGACGTAACGTAACGGCTCCACGGATTGGTCCACTTGGAACAATGGGTCCATTTGGGTATGGGCATGTCACTGTACCCAGGAAGAAAAAGAGAAATGTCCAACGAGGCTTTCTGGGGCAGCATCGACAGGTCTTCTCTGTGTTAGAGTTTTACTCCCTACAGGGTGTACTTTGAGGGTTTGTGACTCTGCAGACCGTTTACATGCAGAACAACCTTCATAACACACAAGGGGACGGGTAATAACTGGAAAAGCATGACATGGGCCCTTTAATAGTTGATCTGGCATTCTTAAATAAAGAGGCAGGCACGCTATAATGTAGCATACGCATAAGTAAGTAGAAGCCAGTAATATTGACAATAAATTATGAAACGTTGTATTTAATCTGAGGATTGACTGTGGACACCCTAGAGCAGTGGTTCCCAACCTGGGGGTTTTTACATATAATTGTAATTGTAAGGCAATACATGATTGTCACTAAAAGCCTTGTCTCTACATTACAATAAAATATAAAAAATAATTGACTAATTAATTTTAATAAAAATTCAAGTTAGTATTAAAGGCATAAAAAGACAGAAATGTCTAATTCTTTCTTTAATAGAAATGTTTCTTCTGCCCGTAAAGTGTCCAAACCAGGCTTGTCTGGATAAGTGCATGTTTAAAACATAGTCATTGTCCATGCCGGTTTCAGTTGGATTATTTGTCACAGTTGCTCCGATCAGATCGGTCTCCTCCATTTTGTAGATTATTTACGACTTTTAAATCCACATAAACACATCGGCAAAATCCGGTTTACTTTGAGCATGTGTTTAAACAGTTTAATCCCTTTGTGAATTGTTTCCACTTCCGCCGTCCTTTCATTTCTTCATACAGCGGGAATCCAAATGAATTAATCCTGAGTCCAATAACCATCAAAGTCACTCCATAGTGCTCCTTGATTACGCTTTCATCCTCCTTTAACAAAATACTTCACATTCATCCAGTTTGTGACAGTAGTTGTAGCATTTTGAGACTTTTAAACTTGAATTACCGCTGTTGCGTGACCCCCCCCCCTTGTGTGTGTGTGTGTGTGTGTGTGTGTGTGTGTGTGTGTGTGTGTGTGTGTGTGTGTGTGTGTGGGGGGGGGGGGGGGGGGGGGTGCGCAACTTCCATAAGGAGTCATTTGGGGGGCTCTTGGGAAAAAAGGTTGGGAACCACTGCTGTAGAGAGTGCTTCAGTCCAAACTAATTATATAAAGGAATTCAATTCATATTCACAGTTCAGGACATGGTGACGGTATTATTGTAGGCTGAATCAAAGAGTTTCTTATTGTCACAAACAACACAAACCAGATGGCACAACTGATAGTGAGAACATATAGGAAAAAGGATGGATCCAGGAGGATGGTAAATGCACTGTACTTATAGTGCTTTATCCAGTCTTTACGACCCCTCAAAGCATCATCTTTCACCCGTCCACACCTCAGTCATACACAGCAGTGCCATTTGCACAAGTTAACAAACATTCAAGTATCTCGCCCAACGATACATCGACTGTTGACTGACTGCATGGGCTGGGATCGATGTATCGATTGAGGATGTCGGCAATCTTTCAGGTGTCGCCAAAAAATAAGAAAGCGAGCGTCAGGCAGGAAAACACAACAACTCCTGGTGATGACCCGGATACTGAGCTAGTAAGATGCATTTATGAGAGCATATAAGGAGAGAGGACATGAGTGCATAGAGATAGAGGAAGAGAAGCAGGAGAAGAGAGGTAACAGTCCTAGGAGCTGGTTCAAGGTAAGCCTGATCTATGAGTATAGATTTAAAACAAAATAAGACATAAATAAGACGGTAATTGTCTGTAAATTGTACCTGCAGCTCTCTCTGGTCATTACAATAGTTTACATTCTGTTCCCTGGTCATAAATCTCTGCAGTCTGGTCCAGGAGGAGGGGGGGGCTTCCCTACTCCCCCCCTGACATCTCTGCTCCATGTCATACGCCTGAAACCTCCTCCTCCCACAGTCCTCCAGCTCCTTAGATGGCCCCTTAGTGTGTGTGTGTGTGTGTGTGTGTGTGTGTGTGTGTGTGTGTGTGGTGTGTGTGTGTGTGTGTGTGTGTGTGTGGTGTGTGTGTGTGTGTGTGTGTGTGGTGTGTGTGTGTGTGTGAAGGAGCAGACAAGGGAGGATTCTTCACTAAATCACAGTATGACACCTAGCTCCTATCAGTCTCGCCCTCTACTCTCCTCCTCGATTCCTCCTCCTTTCCTCGCCTACTCTCCTCTGGTCTCCTCTAATTTATCCAAGTCTCCTCTTGTTTCCTCTCCTCTATCCATTCCTCATCTCCTTTCGTCTTTCCTCCTCTCCTCATTTTTTATCTTTAAACTCCATGCCTCTCCTCTGTTCTCTTCCTCTTTCTCCTATACTCTCCTTTCCGGTCCTTCGTCTCCTCTGTCCTCCTCTCCTCCACTTTGTCCTTACATCCTTACATCCTCACCTGTCTTCCTCTCTCCTCTCGTCTCTTCTTGTTTCCTCTCGTCTCCTTGTCTCTTCTGTATCCGCTTCTCTTCTCTGTCCTATACTATTATCTCCTTTATTCCTTTCCTCTTATACTCCTATTTCATCTCCTTTCCTCCTCTCCTCTCCTCTTCTCCTCTCATCTCATCTCTTCTTTCCTCCCTGTCTCTGTCCTCTTCTCCTTTTGTCTTTCCTCCTCTCCTCTACTCTGTCCTTCTTTGTCCTCTCTCATCGCCTCTCATGTCCTAGTCATCTCCCCTCATCCTCTCTTCTCCCACTCTCCTCTTCCTCTGCTGTCCTCATCTCCTCTGCTTTGTCCTTCCCTTGTCTCCTCTGTCCTCCTCCTCTCCTCCTCCCCCACACTCAGCCTCAGTGTGTTGTTTGTCTCAGGCTGATGGTACAGAAAGTTCTGCAGGAGCTGAAGCTGTACCACGGGTGAGTAAACACGAGAGGGAGGTCTGCAGATCCAGGGGGAGCACTGTGTGTGTGTGTGTGTGTGTGTGTGTGTGTGTGTGTGTGTGTGTGTGTGTGTGTGTGTGTGTGTGTGTGTGTGTGTGTGTGTGTGTGTGTGTGTGCATGTTTTTGGCACGTGTGTTTGCATGTGCCTGTTTTGGCCCTTACCCAGTTTGATCATCCAGTGAAAGGGTGTGTTTGTCACCACAGTTTTTAAATATCAACGGTTGTAGTTTGCCTCACCTGGCACAAAATGAAGTTTGACTGAATGAAACACATCAGTTTAAAGGAACACATATTTGCTAAAACATGTAAGACGCTGCTTTGAAAGTGTCTACTGGTTATTTATGGTTCATATTTGGCAGTTTTTGGTCATTTCTCCCCACGCTGAAACCGGCATTGTCCTCCACAGAGCGAAGCAGGGGAACATCAGATTGGACACCAAAGTTACAGGAAGTGTAACCTGGTACGAGTTCCTCTCCAATGAGTAAGTACCGTCCTGTTCACTGGTCACTTATCACTAAAGCTGGGGACATTTAGGTAATATATTTCACATCATAACATGCTCCATAATTGGTTGCTATGTGTCTTGTGTATTTGTATAGAGCTGTTTCATTGGTTTTCTATGACAGGGAATGGTAACATAGTCAACAGAGTCAAGGGGACATACAGTATCTAAAGATAACAACTCATTTGAAAGAATATAATGTGTTTTTTGAACATTTTAGTTAATATTGTAGTAGAAAGATTTGAATGATATGTGTCCTTTAGTTTTCAGTTCATGAAACAAGTCTAATAACATTTCTAATTACTGCAACTATTACTTTTAATCAAAATCACCCATTCCTGCTGTGACCTGTTGCTGTCTTGTTGCTTTTCAATATATATATGTTTTTGATTTTTTTGTTGTTGCAAGTAATGTCCTGTATTGTGAGCTTTTAATTATTTTAATTTTATTCATATTTTTCTAATTTGATCAGTTTTTTCAATTTTATTTCCTGAAACATCTGCATAGACTATGGATGAAAAATAGCCTTATGGCACATCTAAATATATTTTGAATGTGAACTCTCCCTAAGTAAACTTAATCTAATCCAAATAAGTCTAATCAAAATAAATGTATAATGTACTAATTTCCTGTTTGTTGATTTCACTGAAAAAATATTCATGACATATCTTGATTACATATTTTAAAGGTCCCATGTCATGCTTTTCCTGTTATCCCGCGAGGAGTGGGACAGTGTGAGCTGGCTCACTGGTGTGGGGTCGGCGAGACAGCGAGACACCGCGGAACTCAGCCTGGGCACACACACAAACTCCCAGCCAGGCTGCGGGTGTGTGTGTGTTTCAGGCTGGGTTTGGCTGTGTCTCGCTGTCTCGCAGACGGCCACTGGGCTCATAGGGAGGGGGGGGGGGGGGGGGCGGAGCTCCAACAAGCCGTTTAGGACAGAGAGTGAATACAGAGATGCTGTATGAGAAACCAATGAGAGTTTGGAAAATTGCACAATATACATTTATTTTAGTATACCTCAACAATGGAATTATGATCAGTAGAAATGGCCATGACATGGGAGCTTTAAAAATAAAAAAAATAAAAAAATACAAGATAATTTTTATTTATGTTTCCTTCTCTGCTCCATTGTTAAGGAATGAGGAAGAGGAGGATCGTACAGAGAAGGTGGAGAAAGGCACGAAGGTGAAGAGGACTCTCAGCTCTCTGAGGAACAGAGTGACTGGCTCCTTCAATAAAGATAAGGTAAACATGATGCACTTTGAACACATACTGCAATAAACCACGCTGCCTGGCATGCAATGCAATATGTCACCTAACTAGAGTTTTACAAGGTAGGAAATATGTGCTAAAAAATGAATTTGTTATATCAAATTTGGTACAAGGTAAGGTCCAAAGTAAGCAAAAGTACTCATTATGAATACAATTAAAATGTTTTTGTGTTAAATATATAATATATTTTATTATATAAAACAATAAAATATTACTACAGGTGCATTAACGTGGTCCAGCATTTTAGTTTTGTAGTGAGTAAATGTTGACTACTATACAATTTCAGATACGTTGTGAAATCTTTATCAAATTTTTAAAAACAATCAATAATTTATCTAAAAATCTTGTGTAGTGTAGGCATAACATGTGAATACTTGTATTTCAAATTGTAAAGAAGTATAATAAAATAATAATCATAACAATGATAATTTGTTATTATTTTTAAAAATGACAATACATAATAATAATACAGAAAAATGTATATGACGCTCTACTATACATTTTATTACAATTACATTTGAAGTGCTATTTTTGTGATGCATTTAAATTGCATTATGCAGTTTTAAAAGACCAAATCCCGCAGTGTAAACAGTCCACTGGTGTGCATGCAACACACACAAGTCTGTAATCTATTTACACAAACCCCGTTCTATATCCTGCCTCTGGCACGCTTATGCAATCTCATACATCCCCAGCCATAAGACAGTGAAAGAGAACACACACATTTGCATGTAAAACCCTCTCCTCTTGTTCCTCTGCAGGGTAAGAACCGAGAGAAGGAACATCAGAAGGAGAAGGAGAAGGACACAGTGTGTGGCAGCAGGAGGTGTCACGGCCATCATCTGGTGCCGGGGTCTTTCTCCAGCTGTGCCACCTGCTCTCTGTGCAGCAAGACCCTGCAGAGGAAGCATGGCCTGCAGTGCATGAGTGAGTAACACCACAACCTGCAGCACACGCAGAGGATGGCACAGGTGCTGCGCTCACACACAGGCACTTTCCACTATTTATACACACGCTAATGCACGCATGCTCGCCCACACACAGGTTGGAGCACTCAAGCACACCGGCAGACAAACACCGCCCAAATCACACACTATCACACAACCAGAACTTCATTAAATCACAAAATCTTCAAGAATTATATGTAAATATTCTTTTTAAGGGTGACTATTTTCAATTTTTTTGTCATTTAGTACACCTGATGAAGCATTCAAGCGCACAGGCAAACAAATACCCCTCATAATTACACAACAAGAAACCATATTAAATCATAAAATATTTAAGAATTATGCAGGAAATACTTAAATAGTCTCTTTAGGTATTACTATTTCAATTTTTTCTGTCATTTAATACACTTCTTGACGTCTTTTGTTACGTGGGAGATTACACAGGGTTGCTACAGCTACATTATTTTCCAATCACGTAATTAGCAATGATTCGTAAAATCCTGCCTCACACGTTTGGGCATTTTAAAGGCTTTTGAACAACTGATTTACTACATTTTATTACAAAGTAAGGCTTTTATTTGTATTTTAATGAATAGAAATCTATGCCTGACTTTTAAGGATTTGCACACTGCTCTTTTATAGCATTTAAAATACACAAGATAGCAAGATTTCCCTCTGGAAGTGATTTTCACAGTAAATGCCATTTATCTCATTGATCCAGACTTTTCTTTTAGCATGTTACTGCTATAAAGAAGACGTTGTTCAGTTTGAGTTTCTTTCACACTGCAGCTCTTACTTTTGCACCGCCCACTTGTTTGGATGTGTTATCTGATTTATTAGCACCACTGCCTGACAGCTGTTTATGTGAATGTACAGCATGCATGACATTTGTTGCTCTGGCCTGAAATATTCTTCATGTTTTCTGTGATTTTGTGTGTGTTGGGTTGTTTTATCAGGACCAGCCACTGCTTTGGGTGTCCATTCGACATTTATTACCCAGCGGCTCCTTTTTTTCCTATGCCACTGCATGTCAGCTGATAAGGCTGCAATGCCAGAGGAAAGACATGCCAACGTGCTATTAGAGCACAGTGGTTAAACTCTGATCCATAGAAAGACTGAGATAGCTGGAAATAGCAGGAGTTAAAATAATAATAAATAATTGTTTAAATTGATTAAAGGTGGGGTATGTAATTTTGGAGAAACAAGCTCGAGTGCGCTAGAATTTGAAAATACACAACCGGAGCAAATCTGCCACTTCCTTACAGAGCCCCTCCTCCAACACACACGAACGCGCACATGACCAATGAGGGCACGAGATAAGTTTGTGCACAGATGGAAGGCTGACAGGCAGGTAGGCCATCCAGTTATTTTAGCCGGGCCGGCTCAGATGATTGGTCGTGCTTTTTACAGCGCCACGGCTTCCACTGATGAAATTTTTTTATGGATTTATTGTCAAAGCATTTAATGTATTCATTGCTATCGGGATGTTAAGAGCATTCCATGGAATATAACAAGTGTTTCTGAAATAAATTACATACCCCTCCTTTAACTATCCAATTTCCTCATAACACAGTCAGACTTATGCCACCCGTCTTTATTGTAAATCAGAGACTGTTTTCTCGTAAGCCATGTGATCTGTTGCTGGTGAATTTCATATCACCAAATGAAGTTTCATCAACAAAAAAAACAGAACTGTTCTCAACATTAGTGCCATTTCCATTTCTTCAAACTTGACTGTTTCCAGCAGTGCAAGGAGAGGAGCAGTAAGTCATTTTGTGATTCCACTTCCTTATTTTTCATGGCTGCTACCTAATACCCTTATCCTTCAATTCTGTGGGAGACAAAGGCCATAGGACATTTATAAATCCTGCCGTCTGGCAGGAGGGTATAATGTACGATTGTTTTTAATACGGTGCTTATTAAACAAAGTTGTTCTGGCATATTTCAAAACAGAGGGCATCACACAGCCAGTGTGATTCAGACTGCTGCGCTGCTCCTTTAGACATTAAGCAGAAACCAATATCAATCTAACTCTCTTACTTTACCTATGAGGTCATTCCCCATTCATCAAGAACGGCTGTTGAGTTATTGAGCGTCAGTGGACTTTATTTATCCCTAAGGGAAATGACGGATGGATTTTGCAAAGGTTGCTCCATTTTAGAATAAAGTTAAATAAGACAAAATAAGATTTTTATGATTTTTACATAAAATTATTAAGAATAAAATATTAAATAAATACACAAATATTAAACAAACATAAGAAGTTAAAATAATAATAATGTTAAATACAAATAAAAGTATTAATATAGACATAAAAGGGTAAAGTAAGAATTCCAATTAAGGATACAATTAAATAAAATAAAAATATTTGTATAAACATAAGAAGTTAAAGTAAAAATGTAGTATTAATACACTTTGTATTATATTATATAACATTTGTATTACAATATATACAGTGTTAATTACACACACCATCAGCACTGTATTTAATCACAACATATTCAAGAATCATACAGGAACCAATCACATATTTTGTAAGGAATTAATATTTATAACTTTAATATACTTGTTGACATCTTTGTCACATCTTTGGTTTCTACAGCTACAAGACGAAAATAAAATGTTTAATTACTTTTTTTTAATGCCGTTCTGAATAAAAATGGTAACAATAAAATACAGATATAAATAGATACGATAATAAAATATGTATGTTACATTATTGACAAAGGGTGTATCGATAATAATGGTATTAATAATGAATATTGCTCAAAATGTACACTCTAATAACACCATAATACTGCCAAAGTGATATGAGAATGGCCCATTTGATTAATTGCAAATCATTCAGTTACACAGTTGAATAATTGCAAAAATTAAGTTACAAAATCCTACATTTTGACACTTGTTGTGCACAGCACAGTCACAGACACAGTACACACTACAGAGGCGTGAGAAAACAAGGCAGTGTCCCTTTAATTGTAAGCAGCCCTGTGGGGATTCAGCCACAGAGGAGAAGCAGCCTGTGGAATGCGCTGTTTGTATGCCAGAGATTGTTCCCAGTGAGAGGAGGACAACAAAAACTGGACAAAACCGAGAATGTGGGATACTTGTTGCTGTTGATCTCAATGGCCAAAGTGATGTGTCTATCCCACGGGCAGGATACGTGTGGTTTTCGAATGCAGCTGATCGGATAAACCCGGTAAGAGGCGTAGCGTGATCAGGTGGATCACTCCCGTTGTTTCTCAATGGGACTTTTCCAGGGCATCCTTGCCGTTAGCTATGATGCTAAATGCTAATTATATAGCCAACAACAGCTTCTTGCTTTTTATTCTGAATGACGTGTGTGTGTCAAAGTTGAGTCAGTGTGTTACCAAGGGGAACTACTTCTACAGTTTCCTTGATAGTGAATTTATCACAAAATGGCTCATATTAAATCTCAGTTACTGTTAAGCTAGCTAACTGTTAGCCACTTGTTGCTAGCGCCTACAACCGCTTCTATTTGAAAAAACAGGCTAAGCAGTTAGCTTTAATTAGCTTAAAGTAAAACAACAACAGAGCAGAATTTAAGAGGTGTGTTTTCGTGTCTTAATTTTGCACAACGTCCCTCCAGTTCCTCTTAATGCAGTTCTTTGAGGAGTTTGTCTTTGATGCTGGATGCAGACTTTGCATGGATCTGTAAAGAGAACTGGATACAGCGTTCATTCCTATGAGAGTTGCTCAGTAAAGCCCAAAATGAAGCGACTGTAGATCCAGAAAGTACCCGTATGTGGGCCCATAGAGCATGCGCACTGGAGTTTTCCTCTAAGCCCCGCCTCCGATATACCGCTCTCTGCTGAGTAAAATGAATGAAGAGATTAAATAACTCTGTAACCAGCTTTTAGCGCATTTAACAACTTTTACAACCTACTGAATCAAATAAGGACTATGCAAGTGTTCGTGCTAGGTAATTTATCTAGCTGAAAAAAAAAAAACGTATACGCTGAGTTACAGACGTCTCTTTCCCAATTTAAGTCAAAGGGAACAATTATTTGTGACGTCATGGTGGCTGTAGTACCAATGTTTGGCCACTACGGCCATTCATAAAAATCGGCTTCAACGGCCAGTGCACTTCCTGGGGGCCTGAGCTCAACAGGTGATTGCTAGCTTCCGAGATAACTTGTTATTTTACGCAAAGTAAGCTAGTGAAAGGATGGTACCTTGCATTTGAAAAGAGATTGAAAGGTTTGTAGAATGTTATCACATTTAAAGTTGTTTCTTGATATGTTTAAGTTGTGTGTAACCGTCTGTTGTTTTTATTCTGGTGCTTCCACCCCGTTATAGTTGGGCAGCTAACTTGGCTCTGTGTTATGAAACTCCATATTCCTAGATGTGTTAAATGTTGTTGTTCTTGAGTGTCAAACGCTTGCTTTTCTTCCTCTTCTACCTCTATGTTCTGACCATAGACTGTATATATAAAGGTTCTGACTGAGCTTTCTCTGTGACTGGGTCACATGGTGCTAATTGTGCTTTGCAGGTCTGCCGGTGCATAACAGCCCACTCCAGTGACTCTGGTCTCACCCATCTCTCCCTGTTAGCACACCACTTCTGCATGCATCACTGCTCTGCCTCCAGCACGCCTGGCTCTCTGGGTGTCTGCCTGTTACTACATTTAAAGTCCGACTGGATCTATGATTTTCACACTTTAAACATTTGCCAGAGGTGGAAGAAGTATTCTTATTGGGCTGCACAACTATTTGATATTGTATTGATATCGCAATATAGACATGTACAATTATTTTCAAACCTCAGCCAGCTCAATATTTGTTAACTGCTGATTATCTGTTGTAATACCATTTTATTATGTGTTAGTGTTGTGGAGCTGCAGATATTTCCCATCCTACAAATCATATTCTACAAACTTAACAAAATAAATGTGTCTGCTAAAAAACTCACACCATAATAATTGTTGATATTTTTCAATGATAATGCTAAATAAAATGA